AGGGCGGGGGGGGGGGGGGGAAAAAGGGGGAAAAAATGGGGAAAATGGGGGTTGGGGGGGAAAAAATGGGGGTTTGGGGGGAAAAAATGGGAGTTTGGGGGAAAAATGGGGCTCTGGGGGGAAAAAATGGGGGTTTATGGGGGAAAAAATGGGGGTTTAGGATTCCCATCAATGCTGGCACCATTACGGCCAAGTGTGAGTGTGAGAAATGGGGGAAAAAATGGGGATAAAAAAGGAATTTGGGACCCCCACTGGGGGGGTTTGTGACCCTCATCAGGGGGGATTTGGGACCCCCATCAGAGGGGGATTTGGGACCCTCATCAAGGTCAAGTGTGAGAAATGGAGGGAAAAATGGGGATAAAAAAGGGGATTTGGGACCCTCATCCAGGGGGATTTGGGACCCCCATCAGGGGGGATTTGGGATCCTCATTGGGGGGATTTGGGCCCCCCATTAAAGGGGATGTGGGACCCCCATCCAAGGAGGTTTGGGACCCCTATCGGGGGGGTTTGGGACCCCATCTAAGGGGATGTGGGACCCCCATTAAAGGGGATTTGGGACCCCTATCATGGGGAATTTGGGATCCCAATCAAGAGGATTTGGGACCCCCATCCAAGGAGGTTTGGGACCCCCATTGGGGGGATTTGGGCCCCCCATTAAAGGGGATGTGGGACCCCCATCCAAGGAGGTTTGGGACCCCCATCAGGAGGAATTCAGGACCCCCATCAAGGCCGAATGTGGATGTTAGGACTGGGGGGGGAAGGGGGGTTTGGGACCCTTCTCTGGGACTGCAGGGGGGGTCTGAGCCCCCTGTCAGCCCCCCCTGAGCCCCCCGTGGCCCCCCCAGGCTCCATCCGGCTGCCCAAGGCCGCCAAGGCCCCCCTGAAGATCCACCCGCTGACCCGGCTGCCCCTCGCCGCCATCGTCAAGGAGCTGGGTGAGGATTTGGGGGGTGGGAGAGGGGATTTGGGGGATCCCTGCGGGCGGGGGAGGGGGTTCGGGCACAGACCCCCCCGCATGAGGGTACGGGGGAGGGGATTCCGGGGGAGGGGTGATTGACGGGATTGGGGGTGATTGACAGGGATTTGGGGGTGATTGACAGGGATTTAGGGGTGATTGACAGGGAAATGGGGTGATTGACAGGGAAATGGGGTGATTGACAGGGGGAATTGGGGGTGATTGATGGGGGATGGGGTGATTGACAGGGAAATGGGGTGATTGACAGCGGGGATGGGGTGATTACGAGATTTAGGGGTGATTGACAGAGGGAAATAGGGTGATTGACAGGTCTGTGGGAGGGTAAGGGGCAGTTTTGGGGTGATTGATGGGGGGATTGGACGATTGTCGGGAAATGGGGTGATTGACGGGGGTGGAGTGATTGACAGGTCTGTGGGAGGGGGAGGGGCAGCTTTGGGGTGATTGACAGGGGGTGGGGCCTGTGGGTAGTGGGACTGGGCGGGGCCTGGTGTGATTGACAGGTGCTGGAGCTTGTGGGCGTGACTGCGATGATTGACGGGGTGGAACGTGGTGGGGTTGTGGCTTGGGATGATTGACAGCGGGTGTGGCCGAGGGAAATGGAACCGGATTGGTGCAGTGAGAGTTTATGGGCGGGAACTGAGATTAATTGACAGGGACATTGTGGGGATTGGGGCGTGGCTCGGTGTGACCGACAGCCTCAGGGCGGGCCGTGATTGGCTGCGTAACGCGCGCGCAGGCAGGGACGGGGCGTGATTGGCCGGGCAGCGCGCGCGCAGGCGGGCGGGCTGTGATTGGGCGGCGGGCGCGCGCGGCGCGCTGTGATTGGCTGACGCTCCCGCGCAGGTCGGGACGGCGGCGCTGCCGTTCTCCGCCAACGGGCGCCCCCTGGCGGCCGCGCTGCGCCCCGCGCCCCCCCCCGGCACCAAACGGCAGAAACTGAACCCGGCGGACGCCCCCAACCCCGTGGTGTTCGTGGCCACCAAGGACACCCGGTACGGGGGGCTGCGGGGGTCCTGAGGGGGTCTGGGGGGGTCCTGAGGGGATACTGAGGGGGTTCGGGGGAGTCCTGAGGGATGTGGGGGGGTCCTGAGGGGATCTGGGGGAGTCGCTCCGGGACCCCGTTAACCAGAACAGGGAGGGCTTCCAAGCTCCCTTTTAACCGGGACCGGGGCAGCCCTGGGACCCCAGTTCCCGGTCCCGTTGATCCTGGTGTCCCCAGTTCCCGGTGCTCCGGTTGATCCCGTTCCCGTTGATCCCGGTTCCCGCTGTCCCCGCAGTGCCCAATTCCCGTTATTCCCGTTGTTATTCCCGCTGTCCCCAGTCCCCGTTATCCCCGTTGCTATCCTGTTATTCCCGGTTGTGCCCGGTTGTTATCCCCATTATTCCCGGTTGTTATTCCCGGTTATCCCCGGTTGTTCCCGCAGTTCCCAGCCTGCTCTCGCACCTCTCCAGCCGGCGGCACCGCTGTCCCCAGTCCCCGTTATCCCCGTTGCTATCCTGTTATTCCCGGTTGTGCCCGGTTGTTATCCCCATTATTCCCGGTTGTTATTCCCGGTTATCCCCGGTTGTTCCCGCAGTTCCCAGCCTGCTCTCGCACCTCTCCAGCCGGCGGCACCGCTGTCCCCAGTCCCCGTTATCCCCGTTGCTATCCTGTTATTCCCGGTTGTGCCCGGTTGTTATCCCCATTATTCCCGGTTGTTATTCCCGGTTATCCCCGGTTGTTCCCGCAGTTCCCAGCCTGCTCTCGCACCTCTCCAGCCGGCGGCACCGCTGTCCCCAGTCCCCGTTATCCCGGTTGTTATCCCGTTATTCCCATTGTTATTCCCGGTTGTTCCCGGTTGTTATCCCCGTTATCCCCGTTATTCCCGTTATTCCCGTTATTCCCCCACAGTTCCCAGCCTGCTCTCGCGCCTCTCCAGCTGGCGGCACCGCTGTCCCCAATCCCCGTTATCCCGGTTGTTATCCCGTTATCCCCGTTGTTATCCCCGTTATTCCCGTTGTTATTCCCGGTTGTTCCCGTTGTTATTCCCGTTATTCCCATTGTTATCCCCGTTATCCCATTATCCCCGTTGTTATCCCCGTTATCCCGTTGCTATCCCGTTATTCCCGTTGCTATCCCGTTATTCCCGGTTGTTCCCGCAGTTCCCAGCCTGCGCTCGCACCTCTCCGGCCGGCGGCACCGGCGGCTCCGCGCTCTCCGCGCCGCGCGCCGCGCGCAGGCGCAGCGCAGCCTGTTCGTCAGCGGCTTCCCGCGGGGCACGGCGCCCGAGCGGCTGCGGCGCCACTTCCGCGCCTTCGGGCCGGTCGCGACAGTCGTGATGGACAAGGACAAGGTGCGGGGGGGGCGCGAGTGTCGCGATAGGCGGGGGGGGGGCGGGGGGAGGGGACACCCGCACCCCGCG